GGGTGTGTAGGTTTTAGTCGTGTGGGGATGCCCCCTTACGGGGGCGTACGTGTCTTTTGGTATATTAGTCTGTCTGGTATATTGTTTGTCGGGGGTCGCAATTTTAAAGAAATGTATTCAAAAATAATGCAAATAACTGATAAATAAAGTAAAAACTTACCTGGGCATAACCCCGGCACAGATACCTGTAACAAAGATGCCGACGGCCTCTATGCTTAAGCCGGGGATTAGGACGGTGGTTAAGAGGAAAGAAAGGGATTCTTTCCAGGTAGCCTTAATAAAGGCAGGTAGATCTTGCTCGATGCAATGCACTTCACTTCACAATAAACACGTCCGCTCAGTTCGACCGCTCGCACGAGAATGTCATTTAAAGCGACAAAGAGAGAAGTATTGCGTTTAATAAGGTTCAGAGAAAGATAAAAAACAGAGACAACTTTTCCCTATCAATTCGGCTCTCTGGTTGGTACTCTGTGGTTGTTTATATACCATATAATATTTAATACTTCCCGCCAGTTTTTTGAAAGTGTAGAGTTCCACGACCTCCATCAGGTCAGGAGCTTGTGGAGAAATTACTGCACGTTCACTCGGTGCAAAAATAACGCACGCGTTCAGCCAGTGAAACATCCTATACGCGAAAAATTTGAACTGAATTTGTTATTTGTTCAGTGGAACATAAAATTGTACTTAGTGCGCACCAGTTTTACCAGTGGAAAACCCTATTAGGTTAGCTAAGATTTGTGGTAAAAGGAAAACAACTCATTTCTTTAGACACCTTCACCCTCGGCGAAGAAAAAACGCTGAGGGTGGTGATACGCGGAATACCTGCGGGTGTTTCGCCAAGTGAGGTCCAACTCGACCTCGCAAGACAAGGGTTCCCCGGCGCAATAGTGCACCGCATGGCGAGCCGTCAAAATAAACAGGAAATGCCCNCATTTTTTATGAAATACAAATATTATAAATGAAAATTAATGTCCACTAATGTACTTCGAAAGAAAAATCGTCACAAGAGTAAATTCTTCGTCAATTCGTCAATAACAATTTTTCTCCTTAAAAAATCATCACTTTGACGAAAAATCGTCACAGTTGGCAACACTGCTTACAATTTAGAAAAGAACAAAATACGTCCAGAGTGTCTAGATGTTAATACCGAACTTGCCTAAAGAGAACGCGTAGGAGGAAGGAAGAAGAAGACGATGTTAAATGAAAATTGAAAATATAACCTCATAAAGTTTTGTAAACAGAAGTAAATAATAAAATTTAACATATTTTCTTTATATATTCTGGTTATATAGATATATATCCATGGCTGCCCCACCGCAGGCCTTAGTCAACAGAAATAAAAAGCATTTCCTTGGAGTACCAGCCCCTTTAGGTTATGTTGCTGGTGTTGGAAGAGGGTAATTTTTCATAACTGAATTATATCCTTTTAAAATTTATATTACATATTATTATTTACAGCGCAACTGGATTTACCACACGATCTGATATTGGTCCAGCAAGAGATGCCAATGATGTATCGTAAGTAAATGTTCTTCATAAGTCATAAACATTTACCTTCAATTTTTCTTTTTTTAGGGATGATCGTCATGCTCCTCCAGCAGCAAAAAGAACTAAAAAGAAGGATGAGGAAGAAGAAAAGGAGGTAAATGTGAACATTTTCTTAAATTCGAATATTGGTAATTTAAATTGTAGGAGGAAGAGGATCTAAATGACTCTAATTATGACGAATTTAGTGGTTATGGAGGTTCTTTATTCTCAAAGGACCCTTACGATAAGGATGATGCTGAAGCGGATGCAATTTATGAAGCTATCGATAAACGAATGGATGAAAAACGTAAAGAGTACAGAGAAAAAAGGTTGCGCGAAGAATTGGAAAAGTATCGTCAAGAAAGACCAAAAATTCAGCAACAGTTCTCTGATTTGAAAAGAGATCTCGCTCAAGTTAGTGAAGAGGAATGGAAAAGTGTTCCTGAAGTTGGTGATGCAAGAAATAAGAAACAAAGAAATCCTAGAGCCGAGAAGTTTACTCCTCTCCCAGATAGTGTATTGTCCAGAAATCTTGGCGGTGACGCTGCGACATCACTTGATCCTAATTCTGGACTTGCTAGTATGGTTCCCGGAGTTACAACACCAGGTATGACTTAATAAGTTTTAACAAGAAAAAATTATTAAATTCAAATTTTAGGTATGCTCACCCCAACTGGGGATATGGATTTGAGAAAAATCGGACAGGCCCGAAACACCTTGATGAATGTCAAGTTATCTCAGGTTTCCGATTCGGTAACTGGCCAAACTGTCGTTGATCCCAAAGGTTACTTAACAGATCTGCAATCCATGATTCCTACTTATGGAGGGGATATAAACGACATTAAAAAAGCACGACTTTTGCTGAAATCCGTTAGAGAAACGAATCCTAATCATCCGCCAGCGTGGATCGCTAGTGCCCGTCTTGAAGAAGTCACCGGAAAAGTACAAGCAGCCAGGAATCTGATTATGAAAGGGTGTGAAGTGAACCCTCAGAGTGAAGATCTATGGTTGGAAGCAGCTAGGTTGAATCCAGCCGATACAGCAAAAGCCGTCATTGCTCAAGCCGCTAGACACATTCCTACTTCGGTAAGTTTTTAAATCTATATTATATTTTTTATGCAGGCTCTCATGAAGTGGCTTATCCTCATAATGTATGCTATTTCACGAGAGATGTCCAGTCCTGTCACTAGTTCATCAACAATTTCTAAATTTTCTTCATTTGCCTGTAATATATAGCTTGTTCCACATATCTTCCACAGTGTTCTTGTAATTTATTGATGATATTGCAGAAAACAATTACTCCGCAAGCTAGTGACCCGACTGGCATTGAATTATACGTATCGTAAAATTCTTAACTGTCACGCTATACCATTCCACGTTCATTCATCTTTGTAGGTTAGGATCTGGATCAAAGCCGCAGACTTGGAAACAGAAACTAAGGCCAAACGGAGAGTATTCAGGAAAGCTCTAGAACACATTCCTAATTCGGTACGTCTGTGGAAAGCGGCTGTTGAATTGGAAAATCCAGAAGATGCCAGGATCCTATTATCTCGAGCTGTAGAATGCTGTCCTACTGCCGTAGAATTGTGGCTGGCCCTAGCAAGGTTGGAGACATACGAAAATGCACGGAAAGTTCTTAACAAAGCTAGAGAGAACATTCCCACCGATAAACAAATCTGGACAACAGCTGCAAAACTGGAAGAAGCTAATGGTAATTATAAACTTTAAAGTTATTCTGACGTATATTTAAATTTTTTTTTTAGGCAATCATCACATGGTTGAAAAAATCATAGAGAGGGCAATCAGTTCTTTGAGCGCAAACGGTGTGGAAATCAACAGAGAGCAGTGGTTCAAAGAAGCGATCGAAAGCGAAAAGGGGGGTCACGTTCACTGCTGTCGGGCCATCGTTAAAGCCATCATAAGTTACGGGGTGGAACCCGAAGACCAGAAGCACACTTGGATGGAAGACGCCGACAATGTAAGGCCTTTGATAGTCCCACTTCGCATTAAAATCAGATCTGTATTTCATTTTTAGTGTATTAATCAAGGAGCATATGAGTGTGCTAGGGCTGTGTACAATATAGCCCTGGTTACTTTCCCCGGCAAGAAGTCGATTTGGTTGAGAGCTGCCTACCTAGAGAAGAACCACGGTACGAGGGAGAGTCTGGAGAGTCTTCTTCAGAGAGCTGTGGCCCACTGTCCGAAAAATGAAGTAAGTTTAGAACACTCATACACACTCCGGCTATTAAGTTTTAAGACTTATTTTATTGTGGTGATGTACGTGGCGCTATCTATGTGCGGTCAACGGAATTACACGGAGGGAAGGGTTTCGACCATGGAAACGTATCAACTGTTACAAACGGCATATGTGAGGAGGGGTGTTTCACATCCGACTGTGTTCCTGGTTCCTGTGGTTCGAGAGGTTTCGTGATGGCCGAGACAGCATGCACGATGACGTGAGGATGGGGTGTCCCCGCACAAGCCGAACGAAATAAAAACATCGAAGTTGTATGAAAGTCTGATCATCAATCAATCAAAATGTTGACGGATGACCGATTAGAGCGCACAGCTGCAATGTTTTCATTCGTTTGGCTTGTGAGGGGACTTCCCGTCCTCTTGTCGTTGTGCACACTGTTTTAATAATCACGAAACCTTCCAAATCACTGCAACACAAAAAGATGCTATACACACTCCTCGCCAACAGTTGAGAAAAGTTAGTGAAAAATTGGCCACTGTGGTTATACAGGGTGGCCAAATGAAAACGAAACTGCGTCAAGATTGTAGAAAAACGATCAGACCCGTCGATTTTAGATTAAAGGGGGACATTCTTTGCTGGTATTTCTGATTCGGCCACTTTCACCCCCAAGCAAGAGTAAGCATCACCCCAAAATATTTAAATGGCATTGGGGGTTGAATAATATTTCTTTTGAAAGCTCTTACGATTCTCTTTACAACAGACTTCAAATTTTATAATTCCGCCCAATACTTATTAAGTTGAAACTTATGTACAAACAATTAGTAACGGTAAAAATGTCAGTCATTCGAGTTAAGTACGCCAATGGTATAAATTTAGTATTTCTTGCGTTACATTGGTTTTTGGCGATTTGTTATCAATTTCGTAAAAAAAGACACAATTGTAAAAAACAGAACTGAATACTATACACACACAAAATGAACATAAAATTAGTAGATTCCAAATTATTTTCTAGTATTATTTGGAAGCGTTGGTTGGTAGTTTATTTAATTGTGTTTTTGAAAATTAAACTCTATGGTTTATTTCATTGCGGAAAGGGTAGATATCATTTCGCTTTACTTTATGAACAATAAATGTGCGAATAGAACAGCTCAGCTATTTAATGAACAACATGAAGATCGACATGTCAGGAGGAAGTATGTTCTAGAGTTAGTAAAAAAATTTCAAGAGACAGGGAACGTAGCTAATAAAAAACGAGAAATTGAAAAACCTATAGTTAATGAAGCTAGTGAAGTTGCAGTTTTGGGACAAGTTCAACTTGATCCTACATTAAGTACGAGCCAGCTGGCATCTGTGTCTGGGATCAATCGAACTAGCATACAAACCATTTTGAAGAAGAATAAATTCCATCCATACAAAATATATTTAGTCCAGGAACTTCATGAGGATGATTATGACCGCCATTTGCAATTTTGTGAAATAATGAGTGAGCGAGCAGGGAACGATCCATAGTTTCTTTTTAACATCTGATTTTCTGATGAATGCAGTTTTTTTCTTGAACGGGACGGTAAATTGTCACAATTGCTGCTATTGGTATGGCTCAACCCCAAGAGTTCTTCACGAGGTGCATACACAGCAACCAGAAAAATTAAATGTATGGGCTGGAATTTTCGGTGACCGGTTGGTGGGTCCTTTTTTTCTACCTGGTAATTTCACTGGCCAAATGTATTTGCAATTTCTGGAAGACGCTATTGACCCTGCCTTGACTGATAACTATTGAGAATGTTCCAGAGTATGATGAAGATAATTTGATTTTTCAACAGGACAGTGCTCCTCCGCATTATGCGTTAATTGTCCGTCAGTATTTGGACCAACGTTTTCTATGGAATTGAATTGGGAGAAGAGCCAGCATTGAGTGGCCTTCATGATCACCGAATTTATCGCCCCTTGATTTCTTTTTGTGGGGATACCTAAAAAGTAATATCTATAAAACATAGCCAGCATCGTTGGAAGATTTGCGTCAAAGAATCATCGACGAATGCCGTTGAATCACTCCGGAAATGCTTCGGAAAGTGCGTGAACGTTTCGAACAAAATCTTCATTCTTGTATGGAAGCGGGTGGTCATCAGTTTGAACATTTAATCAATTAAGTAGTAAGCAACTAAGCATAATTTAAATTTTAAAATGTAAATTTCTTTCAAAGTATTGGGCGGAATTATAAAATTTAAAGTCTGTTGTAAAGAGAATTGTAAGAGCTCTCAAAAGAAATATTACTCAACCCCCAATGCCATTTAAATATTTTGGGGTGATGCTTACCCTTGCTTGGGGGGTGAAAGTAGCGGAGTCAAAAATACCAGCAAAGAATGTCCCCTTTAATCCAAAATCGACGGGTCTGAGAGTTTTACTACATCTTTAAGCAGTTCCCGAAAATGGCTCTGTTTCGTTTTCATTTGGCCACCCTGTAATTGGAATACATGCGAAATTAACATAATTTTTGTTTATTTAGGTGTTATGGCTTATGGGGGCGAAAAGCAAGTGGTTAGCTGGTGACGTCCCAGCAGCCAGAGGTATCTTGTCGTTGGCTTTCCAGGCCAACCCGAATAGTGAAGAGATCTGGTTGGCTGCCGTGAAATTGGAGTCGGAAAATAAAGAATACGAAAGGGCTAGAAGGCTCCTGGCCAAAGCTAGAGGTACGATGTAGCAGTTATAAATCAGTGACGTAAAAATATAATCATTATATTTTTAGGTTCTGCTCCTACTCCCCGAGTAATGATGAAAAGTGCGAAACTCGAATGGTCTTTGGACGATTTAGACGCGTCCTTACTACTTCTAGACGAAGCGCTTAAAGTGTTCCCAGATTTTGCCAAGTTATGGATGATGGTTGGGCAGATTCACGAACAACGCAAAGATATGTCGAAAGCTTTCGATGCATACAATTCTGGGGTACAATTCTTTTAAAAATCGTTCTAACATTTAAACTTCTATTATTCCTTTGCAGATAAAGAAATGTCCCAATTCGATTCCCTTATGGTTATTACTGTCAAAACTAGAAGAGAAGCGCGGACAGTTGATAAAAGCACGTTCTGTATTAGAAAGGGCACGACTAAAGAATCCCAAAAACGATCATTTGTGGTTAGAGGCCATACGAATCGAAATCAGAGCCGGTATGAAGGATATCGCCAATGCCATGATGGCCAAGGCTCTCCAGGAGTGTCCTACGTCTGGTATTTTGTGGGCAGAGTCAATTTTTATGGAGCCTAGACCGCAACGGAAAACTAAATCGGTAAGTCTTACCCAATCATACAAGTTTTCACTAAAAAATATTTAATCTACACTTTTCCTTTTAGGTTGACGCTCTGAAGAAATGCGAACACGATCCGCACGTTTTACTAGCAGTAAGCAAACTATTTTGGTCTGAGAGGAAAATCGGGAAGTGCCGAGAGTGGTTCCAAAGAACCTTGAAGATCGAACCGGACCTTGGCGATGCTTGGGCTCATTGGTATCGTTTTGAACAGCTGCACGGTACCAAAGAACAACAGGAGGAGGTTAAAGAGAGGTGTCTAGCCGCCGAGCCCCATCATGGAGAGTTGTGGTGTTCCGTTTCGAAGGAAATCAAAAACGTGGGACTTAATACCGAGCAGACACTGACAGCAGTCGCTAGAGAAGTACCGATACCTGTTTAAAATAGATATAGTAGTTTAAATATAGCTGATAAAATACTTTAAGGATTTTTTATTGTTTACTTCAATATATTAGTAAAGAATGAGGATTTTCTTTCTTTATGTTGAGGCAAATTTGGATAATAAAATTATCTAATATTTAAGAGATCCTTTTTTTGGTAACAATTTTTGCAGCTATTCTATTTTTTCAAATTTATCACACTTGCTTCATTCATACAAACTATCACTCGAAATGTCCACCATTTGCGCATGCTGTTTTATTTTATGAAGTATAATCACAATCTAATTGCCTGATTAGTTAATCAAACCTTAATCAAGACTCAAAGTACCGGGCCTAAGAACCAAGTTAAGATGGCCCTATAAAAAATAGGCAAGCAACAATACATTTTTATAGATTTTATTACACATATTGTCTAAATATGAATTAATGCACAAATGATAGACTTTCCTCCATTCTATCGCAAATTTTCTATAAAATTGACAGATTAAAACTCAAATTACTTTTAGTTGTAAAGAAATTTGTAATTTGCCGCTTTTGACCAAGCGGCATCGTAAATTACAAATTTCTTTACACCAAAAAGTAATTTGAGTTTTAATCTAAGTCAATTTTATAGAAAATCTGCGTTAAAATGGGGGCATCTGTTATTTGTGCATAAATTCAAACTGTAATAAAATCTATAAAAATGTATTGCTGGTTGCCTTTTTGCTATATTGCTCTCTTAATAAAATTACCTTTGCCATCTGTAGCAAACTAGCCAAAATTTAAGTAAGTAAATTGAAAATCCGGCGCGTCTGCTGTGATTTTCCGTACAAAAAGATCGTTGTGAAGGGTACTAAAACGAGCGAGATTTGACAAAGAAGAGCGAGAGAGTGAATTTGAGATAAAAAGAGTGCGATCTCGCTCGATTGAGCGAGCTGCGGCAATAGTGCTGATGCCTATATTTTTATCTCATTTTACATCAACTCCGCTCTATTTTTGATCTGTACATTTTATGACTCCAGTGAAATTTGATGTGATATTTCAAGTAATACATAGTGGTGAAGAACAGCATAAGTGGGCAATTAAATTGAATTGAATGACTTTTCCTATATTTTCAAAATTTTGAAAATTTTATTTGTCGAGTTCCACGTCAGGTGCCACAAATTAAAAACCATGTATTTTAGACAATATATACAGCATAACATATGCCAGCGAAAGGTATTTTTGAATCTGATACACATACAGGGTATTCAGATGTGAACATCCTTGACAAATCTTTATTCATTGAACATCTTATAGAACCATGTTCCATATTGATCGTGCCACTACACAGACTCTTTGTAATTTTGCTTGGAATAATTATTTTCTGATATCCTATTGTGGATTTTTTAAGGAAAATCTAAACATGGTTTAACGGGTTTCGTAGCGGCCTGGAAAACCGGGAGTTCATTATTCTTCATAAAAAACAGGGAATAGTCAGGGAATTTTAAAAGTATTCATGAAATTCAAGGAATTTGATGTTTGCAATTTCGTGAAAGCTGGCTCTGGGTTCTTGAAAAAGAAAACTATTTATGTTATCGAAACCTTTATAAGAGGTTATTTGGATATAAAAAAGATTATGGAGTCCAGTCTAGAAAAAGTTTAATGCTTAAATACCAAATTAGTAAAAATTAACTACACTACAAGTGACTTGGATTTTTTTTATAAGTAGAGTTCGGGGTTTTCGTCGGCTAGTCATAGGCGTGTTCATCGTAAACAAATAAATAAACGGGTAGGTATAAATAAAAATAAATAAATTTGCGTACTTTATCAGCGAAAGGTCGTTTTTTACCCTGTGACGCGTTCGATATTATTAGAATATTAAAACACGTATATACGAAGCAAACGCAAAACCAATAACTACCATTATTACCGGTTTTGCACGATACGCTGTAGCGCAAGGCCGACGCGACGGCTATGATCATCCGACCGAGTCCCGAACTCTATAACCCGGGGAATTTTATATTATTTTTGAACTATGAACCCTGATTAGTTCAGCATCAATTAAAACACTACAACTCAAGATTAATTAATTTTTTTTATGAAATTTAAAATATTTGTACATTTTTCATTCCATTAAAAAATTTAGTAAACCTTAAAGCACTTGAAAATTCTAAAGTAACATTGAGAAAAGTTTTGAAAATCATCGTTATCTTTTCTCGTAACGCTATACCTCCTCAAAAAAAATCATAGCAGATCACTTAGTGGCGTCATACCATGGCACGTGATTCTGTAGATACATGCTGTATATGTATGAGTAATCATGGATAATGTACAACACAATAAAATTTGAAAGGAGTTACCTAGATCAAATCTGAACACTGATTATTCAGCAGCTATTATGCTTTTCGTTTATTAAAATCGAGAAAAATTTGGGAGATCTTATAAAAGATATATAAATCTTTATAAAAATGATTTATATTTGTAATAAGGTAATTTTTACAATATAACTAACTCTGACAAAAAAAGAGTTGAGCTTTATAAAAATGCAACTATAAATATAAAATTATATTGAAAAACCTACAATTTTATTTCGTAGTAACATAAATAAAAATGAAATGAATATAATGGAACTTACAATCAAAGAAAATGCTTTTTTCATGTTAGAAATATTTCTTTTAAATATTTTGGCCTTCACATTTGCATCCTAGGAAAACAGTTGCTATCGAACCCAACGATCCAAAAAATATGTGAAAAAAAATCAAAAACGATATTGTGGAAATGGCAAAATTTCTATTAATACTCATGTAAGCGCATAATAACTTAGAGACCATGTTTTACAGTAGAAAAACACTTTTTTCCACTGAAAAACATATCCGACTAAATAAAAAGAAATCTGTTGGGCTCAATGCTCTCAGAAGTGTTAATCATCGTTTTCGTAGTTTATGTGGTAAATTTGAAGACATCAGTTGTCGGTTTTGTTGTGCCTACGTTGCAGAGCGGCAGCCAAATCCTGTTGGAGAGCCTGTTGCTGGCGGCTTTCCGTTAAAGGCTGAATGGACCTTAGGCTATTTACTATATCTTTAGTTTTGCTAAAGTAGATACCGTTAAGTGTGGTTCGGATTTTATTTTCCATCTCCTCCACCATCCTGCCGATATTAGCAATGTGGGGGTTACTTTCGTTTACCGATGCATCTTGTTCTATCTGAAATACCGATTTATTTGATTCTTATATTAAAGACGATATGACCAACTCACCTGCCTAGTTAAACTACCGCCAAGATTCATCGTTCCGGAACCTTGTTTATTAGTTTGAAGCCACAGCATGGCAGTCGAGGTCATTTTGTAGTGGGAAGTACGGCCCGAACTCTTCTCTTGAACTTCCACCACGTGTAAGGAATCCCAGCAACCCTTAATTTTCTTACTTCCGTCCCCCGTTTTCTTTATTAATATCACACCTGAAAAGCGGCTGCTTATATTTCCTGTATGATGGTGCGATTAGAAAAAAATAAAAAACGTAAATTATACCGGCAAAACCGTGGTCTAGGTCCCAAAAATAAACCGAGGACACTCCTCCCTCGAAATACATTTCCCTGTATTGATCAAATGCTTTATTGGCATCTAGCTCCAGTTTCCTTAAACGTTCCGAAGGCATTGAACCATCTTCCAATGGGGGGTAATATGTATTAGACCAAGGAGACCTACGATATTTTGTATATTAAAGGAATTAAATAGAAAAATATTTATTAAACATAATATAAGAAGCATTAGAGCATAAAATTTATTTTTATTTTCGATAACGATCATCAAATTAAGATAAGCTGTACTGTTTAATTGCAGAAATCAACAACTTCAATCAAGTACCCTGATTACGATAATCCTCAAATTACTCATTGTATTGCATGTGTGAAATGAATATTTCTTGTATTTTTTTAAACAATTTTCTGTATTCCAAAATGATATAATACTGATATCTCTATAATACTTTTTTTATGATATATAAAAACGAGGTATTAGATAAGCATAAAACGTTTAATCAAAATATTAAAAAAGGGTGTAAATAAAATTATCTCTAATCTATTAATGTTACACCTAGGATTTCCTGAAAGTGGTTAATTAAATTTTCATAACACTCAGACTCACCTGTATGAGTCACCATCTCTATTATAATCACACAGTAAATAATCCTTTCCAGTTTCTCTATCTTTTGCGATTTTTAAAGGCTGATCTACTGAAGACAGTAGGTCCTCACACAAACTGGGTACTAAATCTATTAAATCACTTAAATTTTTCTCTATTTGCTGAGGGGGCAAGCGCCGCATAAGATCCAGTGCACAGTCAAACTGATCTCCCTGTAAATTAATCAGCAGCATAAATCATACGTAAAAATTATATCGTTATCGGTTCAATTTCATTTAAACAAACAAATATATTTATATATTTAGAACAGTGGGTGTGACATTTTTTGAATACATTTTTTAACATTGTTTAACTAAGGTGTTTACTTAGAGATAACTAAATGAGTGATTATTTATGAAAGTATCAGACTTACCATGTTTAATTTATTTGTTAATAATTGTTATAAAAAAAACTAATAAGTATTTTTGGTTGACGTTTGTCAACGTAGAACTAGAAGCGGTTGAGTTGACGTTTTTGACAATTCGTTGGTTAGGGTTTTTGTGTAGAAGTTTTAGAGGAATATGTTGGTACAATTGGTTGCCTGAGTACGTTCAAAAACACTACAAGTATATAAAGAGCAATAATGGGTAAACCGAGGGTAACGTAGTGCATCTATAGTGATTGACATTTATGTGCGGAGTCATTGGCGTAACTAAGAAATTTAAAAATAATTTGTATTAAATATGTTAAATAAACAATCAACGTCTAATCATTGGCCGTAGAAATTAAATAATATATTCAAGGGCTTTATTCCATTGTAAGTTAAAAGATATTTAAACATACATACCTATATCATTTTGTAGTGTTTCAAATAATTACGTTTATCAATGAAAAGTGTGCCATATTTTGATTTCAAGATTGTTTTTGTCACTCAAAAGCAATATTGTGCAGTCTATGGCTGAATTTGAAAAAATTCGTAAACGTTTTTATTTTGTGTTCCCAAAAGCGTGCTCACATAATGGTTTTCTAAGAATGCTTTCAACACTAGTCACTTAGTGCATTTGTGCCAAATTATTCAAATTTTTTTTTTTTGTTATCGGCCAAATTGAAAATAATTAGGATATATAATAAAAGCGCCCAGTTACTTGTATTTATTTACAAACTATGTAGCAAGACAAAGGTACTCTGTGAATACAAAACAATGGTATATAATACCAGTACATATCTAATCAAAAAATAAATTTACACTTATAATAAACTCAGTGGTCATATTAAAAAAATAAAGATAACAGCGTTTCTTCACCAAAATGGACACCAACCAATGTAACACTGGCATAAATTCTCATTACTCGTAGCCTGTTGGATCAACAAATCGACTTGCTTCTCAACCGTCAGAGTTTCGTCCACGTTAAAATCATTTCCTGTCAGTTTATCTCGCACTCGGTTGATAATAGAAACTGATTTCTTACTCGAAGCCTCTGGTTGCGAAGTATCGGGTATATCAGTCAACAAACTCTTCTTATTAAATGTTACACTCAGCGATTCAGTTAAATCGTGATCTTGGGACGTTCCCAACGAGAAAGATTCGATTTCTCCAGTAGTAGACTTATTTCTAGCGCCGGTGTCTGTCAGTCTCCAATTAAGTAACGGATCGTATACGAAAGCCTCCAAAACAGCCATCACGCTGTCTTTATTACGGTGCAGAACGGACATCACAGATTCGCAGGTCTTTCGGTAGGTTCCGTCGATTCCAGTCACCTCCATGGCGTTTATCAGCATCCTAGTAAGCCTGAAGGGGATTTTTTCAGGGAATTTCTCTCTCGTCATTGCTACTTCAAAACAGTCGCCGAAGTCTATGTGTAAGATTTTCCCGCTCAGCCTGTCTAACATTAAATTACTCGGGTGGCGATCGCCTAAACCTAAGATATAGCCCACGATTGACATCACAGCCAGAGAACGGGTATAATTGGTTCTCCTATCGAACCACACCTCGGAGGACGGGCTTTTCAGCCATAAAAGCCGTGCTAGGTCGTCGCCGTTGGTGTGCTCCAAAGCGTGCTCGAATACCTCGACTTTCTGCAAAACGGTCAAATGATCGTAATCCGCGGCCATTCGTAGCATTAGTCTGTGCTCTATGTTCAATAAAATCTTCTTTTTGTCTCTGTAATCTCTTATGAGAGTATGCAAGGTGTCGCAATGCGGTACCCATCCGATCAGGCCGGAATTTGTGCTGAGGGGTATTACGGCGTAACGCTGAATGGTTAAATTCCTGCGGAATGTGTCGGGGTCTTTCAACAGCAACGTGTTGACTAAACCGAAGAGTTGCATCACCCTCTCGTCCTGTCTCAAGTCTTCGTGTCCTTTTAACAGGAACATGTAATCTTTGCCGTTGCTACCCCTTATCGTTAACTTTCTCGGGCGTTGTTTGGATGTGATAACCTGCCGAGAACATAAAATTAAGAAAATCGTTTATTTAGATATAAAAGACGTACCTCTAGGGATCTGTGGAAGTACGCTATTTTTACTATAGGTTGGCCGGGCGCGTAGCTACCTGGCACGGCAAGTTCAAGATCTTGGCATACGAGAAGGTTCGGCGAGACATACTGTAGCTCGAGGGAGGTTAGTTGAGGTAGTTGTCTCGTAATTCTTCTAAACACGTGATAGTAAAGATCCCAAGCTTGGTTTAAGTCACGGATGTTACCAGAAATCTAAAACAAAAGGAAAAATGCATATCCTTGTCTTTTCTAGATACAATCGAAACTCACCCTGTATCTTTGGCACCACTCGTGTGCCTCATTCAAGTCTCTTCCATAAGCTTGCGTAAAACTGGTTTCCTTCAAAGTCTGTGGTCCCCTTTGGAGCATAATGTGAAGGGGTTCGAGAATACGCAACATTCCTTCTACGTTTCTCTCTCCAAAGTACAATCTTTAAATATAAATCAAATAACCATTGTGAAAATAAAATGTTCCAAAAAAATGTGTGAATATCCCACTCCTGATTATTAGCAAAAACAAATACATACCTCGACGCTTCTTCTAACCCTTCGTGCCAAATCTCGTGCCACAAAATGGCGACCCTGATGAGTTCCTCCGAGGCCATAAGTGCCTGCTGGACCAACGTGGGGGAATGCTCGCTCATATTTTTAAGTATCTTGTTGGCGGCGCTCCTCCTTATAGCGGAATTGCTTTTCGTGGCTACCGTTAACGGATACACCAGTGCCTGCGGGTGGGTCTTGCCGATATCGACCAATAGACGGTTGATGAGTTTGGAGACTATAAGTCGGTTCGTGTCGATCCTCGCTATAAGTTGGGGAATCACCTGCAACCAAGTGTTCTTCTCTACGAGGCAGATTCCTTCTCCTATCGCGTCCGATACTTCGTGTGTAACGCCGTAGTCGAACCACAGCGTGAGCAAGCGGAGCGTGTCCTGCAGCGAGCTGCCTTTGGACAAGTAGATTGACCTGCGAAACAAATAAAAATTAACACTTAAAGCTGTACATTGTTGAAACGTACTTAAAAAATCCTTTGATGGCCGCTACCGTGTGTTTGTTAACGTCAACTACACGTTCCTGATTCAGCGCGTTTTTCTCGTTCTTGGCCTTTTCCGTCTCTTCTTTATTTTTGTAGAAAAGGACTGTATCGAAGTTCATGTATGCCCACGAGTGCCAGGCTTTGTACCAGTCCGGATCGTACTCGGTAGCCTGGTTATAGTAATTGAGGATGGACGGGATAGAACTCTCCGTCACACCTTTAAGGTTTTCTTGCCAAGCACCCAGTTTCAAGTAACACCTATAGGTATTTAAGGAAGAGTTATAAAGTTTAAAAAAACGTCTTAAGGACAAGGAAAAGCAAATTTTGATGAACAAAAGTATTCTATTACCTTGCGAGAAGCCTTTGCCTGTCTTCTTGGCTGATATCCACATCCGGAGTATATTGCGTGTAGTCGTTAAGGAAATGTTCCAGTTGCTGGTACGCTCTGTGCTTTTGATCCACGGCCCACAAATGTTTTGTATAAGCGAAAGTAACCTGAGGACAGGTATGAGGCAGGGCTAGGTGTGGGTTTTCTTCGGGGTCGTATCCAAGAAGTTTTACTAATGTTTTGTGGGACAGCCTCTGCAATAATGGAAAATTGACAAATAAAAATTATTGTTAACCCTCAAAGGTTACACTTGGGGTGGGCCACCTTAAAGGTCATACTAGTGCGAATAGTGATAACGTACATATAACAAAATTGGGGTAAAATTTTCCGAGAATTAGTTTTGAAAAAAATTTATTTGTTAATAAAAAAAGGATTGAAAAAAAACATATTCGTAAAATAACTTTTTTTTTAAATTCGTATTTTTTATAAATAACGGCTAGAGAAAAAATAAAAAAAAGATTTTGAAGTTCAGTCTACATTTTTAAGAAAAAAATACCCCATATTGAAAAAATTATATTATCGATTTTTCCCGAATATAGGCAATTTTAGAAGTTCTGATTTTTGGCTCCTTTTCGGTAAATTGAAGTTTATTTTGCAGTCTTTTGTATAATAATACTAATTTAAAAAATGAAAAATTATTAACAATAACTAGATAAACAATGTTCTAGTTTATACGACACGTAAAATGAGGTGAAAAAAATTGGAAATTTGCATCTCAATTCAGTTTATTTCTAGATGATTTGATATAAATTCAGCCACATTTTGCCCGCACTAAAGTCACACTAGTGCTAATTTGCACTGATCGGACTTTTCACTCTCTAGTTTGTCTGACAATAACAGACTGAGGCCAGCTGTGGTACGGCTCAACTGTTTGGGCTATAGAAGAAATTATTGTGGTGGGGGGAACCCTCGGCAGCTGCTACCTGAGAAATGGCAGTTAGTGTGAGCTTTGAGGGTTAATTGCTTCATTCTATGTTCAACATATTTTGATTAGAAATGTCTTGACTTTTTTTGCATAGCCTTGTCTGTTTTGGTACAAATTAGTAATTTGTAAAGATGATACGTTTAGATAAAATTATTTTGATTTTATAAAATGGTTTGAAAATGGCTTCCCCCAATATATCGATACACTTTTCATGATGGAGAAAAATAATGTCAATGACAACGTGAAACGAATTTCATAGCCAGGTGCATTTTGCAGACATGTCGGAACATTTTTGTTGTCCATTTCCATCTATTGTGAACAATTTAAGTTTTATTGTGGAAGAACTTAATTTGAGGATTCAAAATATTGTTTACGTCTCTGATGAGTTGGACATTGGAATGTGTCAATATAAAAAAAGTTTCCTGGCGTGATCCGTTATAAAGAACTGAGAAGATCCATTGACAAACTTCTTTAAATTTGGAAGTCATGAAATCCAATCCAGGAAAGACTAGTTTTTTTTCCAATTTTACTGTTTAGTGAAATTTTAGAAAAATTATGCTAACTAGATTCCTTTTGAAAACCACAAAATTGAACCAGGTTAGAATCGAGGGGCAGTACAGATTTCTTTTAAACTACTAGAAAGTATTTTAATTAAATAATGACGGTCATTTTTCAGTCCAAAAAGACTCTGTTATTATAATACCAGGAGAGATACATATCTTGAGACAAAATAATATCTCGGTTGGGCTCGATTATTTCGAAAAAAGTTTCAGACAAAGTTGTAGGGCACTGAGGGGACCCTTGAAAGGTCCATATTATGACTTCTGGTCTAGACCAGAAGTTGATTTTGTTTAATGGAAACACATTTTTTACCACGGATTTCGATTAAAAAATTTAAAAAACTTTTTGTTATTATGTTTTCAATTTAATCCATATTTTGGCCATAAAAAACCAAAAAAATCTTGAAAAATAGCACCTTGTTGGGATCACTTTTTTCTTTTTTTAAAGAAATGTTTCATACAAAAGTTGTAGGGTGAAAATGCTATCTTCACATGACCTTGACCTTAAGGTCGTTTGAAGATCAAAATAAAAATTTTAAATGGGGCCCACCTTTTTCACCTCAGAAATTAAAAGAACGGGAAGTTGGTTGCAACCAATTTTTTTCGATAGTATTTGACCTTCTGATAAAAAGTTCTCATGGGCAAAAGCCTCCTTGAAGGTCTGGCAGTCGACAAGAGTTTGGATATATGAAAGATATGTTATTTCGCACAAGCTGTATCACCATACTTGATTATGGTAAACTAGGGTATTTGGGGGCGCTGATTACAAATCCAAGGTCAGCTAACCTCCATCATGTCAGATTCAAGGTCATCTCAAGGTCAAATTGTGAAAAACCCATTAGCTAAATGTGAAACAGTAGGTACATAGGTTTTTGAGGTCACTGAATACGAATATCGGGTTCGCTTAAGCCTACAAGGTCACTTAGAGGTCAACCTCAAAAAAAACAAGTCAGATATCACGAATTTTTAAAAAATAACAGATTCGCGCCAAATTTGGTATACGGTGGTTTTCGGGGTCGCTGATCACGGAAGCGAGGTCAATTTTGCAAAATTCAAGATAGCAGATCCAAGATGGCCGACCAAATTTTCAAAAAATAACCCATTCGTGCTAAATTTGGTATATAGAGGTTTTCGGGGTCGCTGATCATGGATCCGAGGTCAATTTTGCAAAATTCAAGATGGCAAAATAACGACATTGACGTAGTAATTTTTTATTTCCTTTGGGGTACCTGTTTTCTGTGAAATCAAGAATTTATTCAGATTTCTAAAAGTAGTATACAGTATACAGTTTTTCGACCTTAAAATTACCTTCATATTGGATCTTGTTCTTGAGGTTAAGTTCATATCTTATTGTAAAACTTTTTGAATTTGATCTTCAAACAACCTTGAAGTCAATGTCAAGGTCATTTCACGATCCCCCTTTCACACTACAACTTTTGTATGAAACATTTTTTAAAAAAAAGCGATCCCAACAAGGTACTCCATTGTCTCAAGATTCTTGTTTTTTTTATGGCCATTTTTTCGAAATAAGAGTCCAATCGAGATATTTTTTTGTCTCAAGATAAATCGTGTATCACATATAAAATTCATATCGATTACTACAGAAATTTGTAATCTTATTTTCTTGGTTTCTGTCACAATTTATAAAAAAATATGTAAGAATTGAATCGATTAAAATTTCCCATATTTCTGCTTTAATTCATTGTTAATAAACTCATTGTCGTCAATAACATATCAAGAAATCACTCTCATTTTCTATTTTTCTTAATATATACAAAGATGAAAATAAATTTTGATCAAAAGAAATGTGATGTAAAAAATTTGCACTCACCATTGAACCGCTCTTCCTGCAAAGCGCGGCGTACTTCAGCCACGTGTGAACGTCTTCGTGAGGTTCCAACACCAACGAGTGCACTTGGATTATCTTCTGCCAATCCTCCACCAACCGTTGCCCAGCTTGCAACCTCTGCCACCACATGGCCTTCAATGTATGCCTCCTTTCCGGCACCAACTTGTACTGCATAACCTCTTCCAACTCGCTGAGGATCTGAACCTGCACCATGGCCCCGTACGCCCTCTGGTAACTCTCTCCCGCCATGGCAGTCAGTTCGGTGTCAAGGATCTCCCTCGTTTTGTAAATGTAGTCGTGCGCCACCTTGTATTGCTCCTTGTGTATCGCCAAGATGGCTCGGTAAAACGCCCCGTCCTGGGAGTCTTGGGGTAAGACGTTGACGTATTTCTCCATAGACTCCCAGTTGTGGAGGCCAAACGAGGCAGCGGCGGCCAAACGGCAGGCCTTCTGGCGGTTGTCTTCAGAGAGGAGCTGGCACTTGCTCTCCACCACTTTGTGCAGACCTGCCCATTCGCCTAACGCCTCTAAACACCTGAAAAATGTTTGATAAATAAGTGAAAGTCACAAGAATTTATATTTTTTTAAAAATAATAACTGAAATAATAATCTAACCTCATCTGACCGAGACAAGCGTCCTGATCAAACGATTCCTTTTCGAGTTTCTCCTGGTATAGTCCAAGAGCTTTGTCCCAGTTGTGAAGCTTCTCGTACCATCTCATCTTTACTTGCACTTCACCACCTAACCTCATTACGTACTGGAGTAACCCCTCTGCCGCTTCTTTTTGTTGCAGTTTATTGTTGATTGAAATAAGTGCCTCGACCACGCTGTCCTTGTGGGCTCCCCCATGTTGAAACTCCTCTTCTTTGTAGTGCAGAGCTTTAGCATATGCCCTGAAACACGTTTCTTGTATAATCAATACTATCGATAATATATAGGGTGTAACTGAAAGTAGTGATACATTTTAGAGGTAATGGTATGTATTCCCCGAGTGCTAATATGAAATTATTATTTTTTAAAAATCAAGTGAATAGTGTAAGTCCAACCAAATTACACTTGCAGAAAAAAAATTATTACCCGAACTTTTATAAGTGGAATTGGTAAAAGGGCTTATAATAAAAATAAAAAAAAATAAATGTGTGCAGGGGTGGTGGAGGGTTGATTTGGGGGGTTGAAAAGTTGTAAAAAATTGTATCATTGGGATTTCTGGCGAAAGTTGACGTCAAAAGTATCCAAAACAAAAGTTGTAGATCATGCAAAAATCTACAACCTTTATACAAGTCACTTTTTAAGATAACCTCAAAATTTCCGAGAAAAATGTGAAAAGCAGGTTTTTTTCTTATTTTTCATTTTTTATTTCTGATTTCCTCTAAAATAATTTAATCTTGATGAAACTTGGTGAAAGTATACCTTTCTGTGTCTTAAATAACCATAAATTTTTTTAGATAAGAAAATCAAGAAGTTTCCAAGATATTCGTTTTTTCCGGTCTGAAAAATTTTTTTTTCAAAGAAAAATTCTACTTAGAAACATCATCGTACAGAGTAATATCATCAAGCGATAACAATAGTAATATCATCTAATTCAGAATTAAAAATGACTAGATTTTGTCATAAAAATAGCAGCGACGTATTTAAAAAAATTAACCTGATGATGGCCCCTTGAAGACAAAACGTCGGATTGCAAAAATGTTGAAACCATTGGATAGAGCAAAAAAAGTGGCTTTGTAAATATGCAATTTATTTTAAAATTCGTTTTCAAATAAAGCCAGAAAAAAATTAAACAATTTTTGCAAAATTTCGAGTTTTGTCCCCGATATCTCTGGCAATACCCGGAATTTTAAAATTTTCTAAACGGCATATTGTTAGGTATAAAAAAACAACTTTTTTCTAATCTGAGCCACCCCGTATCTCTTATCGTTTCCTAGATCCTAATGCTATCCCATGCTTATCTTGGCCACACTGTATATCTATGAATTCATCAAAATTTTAAAAAAAAATAAGTGCACTAATCGATCCTACAGAAAAAAATTATTATTTATTTTATTTATTCACTATTCAAAAAAACGAAAAATAAGAAAAAAGCCTGTTTTTCACATTTTTCTCGGAAATTTTGAGGTTATCTTAAAAAGTGACCTCTACAAAAGTTACAGATTTTTGCATGATCTACAACTTTTGTATTGGATCAACCCTCCGCCACCCCTGCTCACGTATTTATTTATTTTTCGTTATTATAAACCCTTTTACCATTTCCACTTATAAAAGTCCAGATAACAATTTTCTTTTTTTTTTACCTCTAAATGAGTTATTTCGATCGGTCTGGTAGTTATAATTTGTTTCTTAAACTCATTTAAACTCTTGTCTACGCCGTCACTGGGGAGTTCCCGAATTGAGAATATATCAGTGCTTTTATCACTGTTGTCTGTTACCTTTTTAAAACAACTGCATGAAACTAATGGAGTTGTCGAGAGCAAAAGTACAACAGAAAATAATTTTGTAAAAACATGTTGCTTTTGTATGACTTTGTGACAAGTTCTTTTAAATTCACCAAATATTTTTTTATGTCAATGCGAACAAAACGCCGAATAATAAAAAATTTCAAAAAATTAATACTTTTATCATATAAAGTTTTTAATAAAGTGTTTATTTTCTTAAAGCACTGTGTTTAGTTTGTGAATCTTGGTGCCAATGACGTGTGACACTGGTCTGTGATATGACAAAATAAATGGCATGAAGTATTAGAAAAGTAAGAAAATCTACCTGCAATGCATCGCATGTTCCCCCAGCAGATGGGTGTCCAAAGGCAAGGGCCCCTTATCACAGTGCTCCATGAACTCCGCCAAGTTCAAAATAGTCTGCGTGATCTCTGGAACGTCTGGGACTGTAAGCGCCTGTTCCAAGCACTGCATCAGCTCTTTCTGCATGGGTTCTTTGAGTTCCGTCCAACAACTAACAAAGGCAGCATTAAACAGATCCCTCGGCAGTTGCGAGTATGTCTGAGCCAGAGGCAGACACGAGCGTAACGCAGGGATCGGGGACTGTTTTAATAGTTCGAGGCTTAGGCGGCGCAACCATTCCAGCCAATCGTCCTACAGAGAAATTTTGTAATAAAAAAAATTGTAACAATTACAAACATAATTTGTTTACAGAACCTAGATATGTCGAGGTATCAGGTTGACAAGTTTTAAACACAACACCCTGTACAATTTTCCGTTAATTTCTTACCTTTGAAACCCTTCTGTTAGGTGTCCAGGCCTGTTGCAGGTTTTTCTCCGACACTTTCAATCTTTGACTTATGGTAGAATCACTGGGAAGCCCCGGATCCCCCCTATTTTTCATCCGATTCTTCCTTGGCATGGACAAATCGCTCTCGTCCGCCATCGTACTGTCGGCCTGAATCTTAGACACTAAAATGTCCCATTTCCTATTCTGAATTTTGTGTTTATTCAGGACTTTTTGTACCATTGGTACGAATATACAAAATTTGCGACCCAATTGCATTACTAACGAACAGAGACATTCCATAGCCGCCGGACGTAAATCGGGAGAATTGTCTATGGTGCGTACCAAGGGGTGAATGATTCGGGATATGAAATCAGAGAAATCCAGAATTTCGGCTAGTTGATCGATGGTCTCCAAGGCTTGCTTGGAAACGGCAAGAGGGCAATCCGCCGCGTCGAATAACCTACAAAATTTAGTTAACAAAAAATTATTCGTCATTTAAACAATTATTTACCTGACGATCGGAGGAAGAATTAAATGCATATAATCCTCCAAGTTATTCCCGAACTTGTACATAGCTTCTAGAAGCGCCATCGTGTGACGTTTGTCCTTGGAAGTGTCGTGATTCAAAACCCTCAATATTTGAGGTATCAACCGGGGTAGGTACACTTTGAACTCTGCTCCCAACGCAACCGCGATATGTTCCAAAAGGAGAATTATGGTGCTTTGTATGGTGCTGTTAGGTGTCCAGAATTCCTTTATAAGCTTACAAATGTCGTCTAGATAGTTGCGTATGTGCTGTTTAACGATGGCGATCAGCTGTCCGAGCTGTTGGAAGAGATATTCTCGGAATTTCTCGTCGGCGGTTCGAACGACATTTAACAAACTCGGAAGCACCTGAATGTAACGTTAGCTTTAAATCAATTGGATTTAACAGAGAAACAATAAGAAATGTGTTTTATAAAATGTTTTTGATAAAAATTTATGACCTATAAATATTCTGTAGTCTCATTACTGTCAAATTATTGGCAGCAGCACAAAAAATGTTTTACTTAGATAGTGAATTTAGACAGTTCATGTTTTTTAGAGCTCCGCCTTTGGCGTCATCCGGAAACCTGCATGCACGTTCGTCCTGTAAAGTACCATTTTCTCAAAAAACTTCAAAACTCACCTGAGAGATATAAGGAACGCACTTAATACCCAAACTCTTGAAGGTAAATGTGACGGCCTGCACCACCATGGTGTGATGCTGAGACAAGGTAGGGTCCCTTATGATTTTCATGAGCGTGGCTATCGCCATCGCCAGATAATATTCCTCCAGGGTACTAGAGCTCATGCTCACGAGCATCTCGCTTGGGCTCACACTGAAATCGTTCTCGTTCTCTCCAGCGTTAGCAATTTTGTCACTGATGGCTATCAGAGCGGGAGCCTCCGGTTGGTTATCGATCTGGCCCCGATGCATTTTGTGTTTGTAAGGATCCAACGCACCTACAAAACCATACAAAACATGAGAATTTTTTGTTTAAAAATCAGTAAATGTCTTACCGAGCAGTCCGAGTACCCTAATAGTTTCCTTTCTGATATAAGGCTGTTGTTCGGTCTTCAAAAAGTTAATTAGTACGTCCAGCAACATGGGGTATTGAGTGTAGGGTCTAATAACATGTCCCGTAGCTCCTACCAGTTGGGCGAGGGTGCATAAAGCAGCACCTCTTTTTTCTGGTGATGACGCGTCACCGAGGATTTCCAATAAAATAGTCATTAGTTCCTGCATCCACTGTTGCAACTCGGAATCGCCGCCAGTTACTTCAGCTAAATCGCCAATGGTAAGGAGTACCGATAAAACAACTCCGGGATTGGGTTCAGGTTCTTTTAATTTCGGAACTAATACCTAGAAAATTAACAGTGTCGTGAGTGTAAATATAAATTTCAAATAATTAAACTCAAGAAAATATACAAAGAAAATCATTACAGCAGTATTTTTTTAAAATAATAATGTATTTCTAAAAATACTACTTGAGTGCAACAGATTCATCTTTAGACAGAGGCGTGCATGTTGTATTTAGGAAAATTGAAACTCAATAGACGATAAACAATAAAGTTTCAATAGAATTAATTTACATTTAACAATTACAGAAACACTTGTTTCATATAGATCTAAAAAACAATCAAAGCAACCGAATTTGTGTTAACCGCAGGTTATTTGAGTGGAAATATTAGGACTTTTGTTATGCCATTCTTTATTTAGGTGCTCTTTTTTCAAGGTGGTGTCAATCTTGTAATTAAAAAAAGGTTTCTATTAACAACTGTTATTTTTAAGATTAAATTGAAACTTTATACATTTTCTGTGTAATTTTGATAAAAAAAATCGATACACGAACGGAGGGATTGAGGATTGTAGTATTCATTGCCTTTATACTTTCTTGCATATACCTATAATTCAAATGTATAGTTTTTTTGGACCAAGTGTTTCTTTTTTGTACTTTTTTCACTCTTGTAAAAAATGTTTCAATTTCAAACTAAAATTAAAAGAGTACCAGTATGAGATGCAAGTTTATGCAAAGTTTCAATTAAATATTAAAGAAAAGTTATTAATAAAAATCTTTGTGGCAAAAGAGGTGCCTGAATGAAATATGGAATAAAGAAAATCCAATAATTGTTGATAAAAGAATCTGTGGTTAATGACGTGACCCACTTTTTTGTAACACCCTGTATATTTCACATTCAAAATGGCAAATCTGAAAATATTCTACTTTTACAAAAGGGGAGCTACCTGTACTCTACATCTGTATCATACTAAGAATTTCAATGAAACATGAAAAAAGTAATTATGCTATTTATTGACTTTATTTAAGTAGCAAAATTCGATGGCTCCAACAGTGCACGAGATGAATTAAATATGAGATGTGACAGTTTCACGGTTTTTGTTTTTTTTTTTCTGATAAAATGTTCCTTATAACTTTTGTTAATTTTTTTTCCACCAAAATATCTTTATAATTGTTATTTTTGTTTATTTGATTGTATCTTCCATTTTTTATATGTTTTTTTCTCAGGGCAACTGTGCGTCTCAAAGTTCTATTGCAGCAGTGCTACAAAAATTTCTTTCAGTAGTGAAAAAAGTGGTATTTTATCGCATATTATGTATTATGAAATAAAACAAATAATTAAATAAAATGAACAAAAAACAACCAGAAGTGAAACTTTTCAGTTGTAAAAATATTTTTTTTTTTTTTTCATTTCATACATAAGACATGAAATAAATGATAAAACTAACATCACTTCCTAACTAAAAATTTTGGGACTAGAAATAACAAATAACTAGGCACAATTTTAGATAAATGATCTGACTATGACATTGTAATCCAATGCTGGCCAATAGACCAGGAAATATAGGGGTATGCATGCATAATTCTTCGATCAGGTTGATTTTTTATGAGCAGATAGTAAAAATAGTGTAGAATAATATGTACCGTATCTGCACGCTAAAAAAGTGGGTGACATTGTTTAAAAGTTGATCAAACATGCAGTTTTAGTAGAAATTCGCGTTTTTCGACCGTAACTTTGTTTCTGATGGTTCTACAGAGAAATGGTAAAATACTTTTTTGTTCGTCTTTAAATGATATACAAAACGACGTCTCGAGTGTCAAAAAATATCGATCCACCCGAAGTCGGGCCAATTTTTTTATTGGTAGATTTAACAAAAAGCTCTCGAGTTCCATTGTTCCATTTTTATAGCGAAGGGAAATTATTAAAAAAATTTCCTTTGTTGTAAAATTAAATACGCCCTTAATTTTTAATTTTTTTTAGTATTTTATTACATGTACTAAAAGAGCATAAAAAAACTTCAATTTGAAAAAAGGTTCGCCACGATTCGTTAATAAACAGTGGAGTTATGGGCTTTCAAAGATAACGGTCTATTGTTGAAAAAAGTGCGGAGCGAAAAAAAAAATATGCACATAATCAGCAGCCGGAGTGCTTTCAGTACAGTAATATTTATTGTACGGGCAAGAGAGAAGTCACATAAAACAATTTTCGAAACTCAGCCGAGCGTTCGATTTTCCATTAAGCGCCGAGCGGCGGTGTGGTGGGGAAGCTAGTCGATTGCGTTTCTGTCTAGCGTGACGACAGCGCAACATTAGTCGTACTTTTCTCAGGAAGTATGAAAGATAGAATAATCTCTTTTTAATTTAATACTATACGACGAGAGGAATCTATTTTTGTCTAGATAGTAATATAACAAATTTCTACATAATTATGTTAAAATATTACATCGCGCTCAGATTTGCATAGATCATTAATTAGTTAATTTGTTTATAAGGCCATAACTCGCAAAATAATCCACTTACGGATTCCGGCTTTCGCATAAAGTATTTGTCTGTAGTGAGGAATGATTGAGTGTTATCCGAAGAAGCCTCTGAGATAACATCGCGATTTATTATTGTTTATTTAAAATGGCATAATTGGCGGTTTTTTGCAAGTAACTTTTGACCAGATTGATATTTCTTGACGCTCGAGACGTCGTTTTGTAGATTTTTTAAAGACGAACAAAAAAAGTAGTTTACCATTTCTCTATAGAACCGTCACAAAAAAAGTTACAGTCAAAAAACGCGATTTTCTACTAAAAGGCATGTTTGATCAACTTTTAAACAATGTCTCCCGCCTTTTTCAGGGTGCGGATATGGCACATATCATTCTACACTGTTTTTACTATCTGCTCACAAAAAATCAGCGTGACCGAAGAATTATGAATGAAATGGTCATTTTCATGGTCTACAAGGCTTAATTTGCAAAGTAGTTATTTCCTACAATATTATTAGTTAAAAAATATTGATATGAATGTAGTATTTCATATTAAGGTAATATCTGTCTTTACAGATCTGATTACAAAATTAGGAAAAAAAAATGGACCCCTCGATGATATCAGGTATTCGAGATGTCAGCTAATCTGTTATTCTGAATGTCGCTTGATCAACCACGTGAAATTAACTGAGATCTGAGGTAAACAAAACACGGCTCATAAAAAAAATAACCAAATATTTCATAAACAAAATGACACTGGGCACACTGAAATAACATTTTTCATATCCTTACCTTTAAAATAGGTTCCATGTAAGGTCTTATCAGCCTAGGAGCGCTGACTACTAGATGGTCCAGCATCTTGGCCCCCTGCTCCTTATTCCTGCCGGTCCCGGAATGCTCCAGTTCGGTCAATAACTGCACCAAAACCTTCCTAAGACTGGGCATGACGAATGCGGGATTCATACAGCTCAACCTACCGATCGTAAACAGGGCTACCTCCCTTATTTCAAAGACTTCATCCTGCAAGGCGATGAAAAGCGCCCCCAGGGACTCCGCCTGAGCTAAATGATGGTCGAAAGTTGGGTCTAGGGAAACCAGAACTCCTCGTCTCACGCTAGCTTCCGTGTCTGTCAGTCCTACGCCTAATAACCTGTGCAGGACCGAGGCGACCGTTTTGGTAACGGTTTCCGACGGATTTTTCGTCGTACTTCTGATAGCTTGTCGGAGCAATCTGCAAGTCGTTTTAACAGCTTCTAACCTTATTTCCATCTGCTCGTGTATGAGGAAATGCTTGGCGCATCGCTGCACGAATGGCAACAATCTCTGACCCTCGAAATCAAACGTACCCAGAGTGTGCAACGCCAGCACGATAATTTGAGTGTCGTGAGCTTCGGAGCTACTCAGAGACATGATGTTGCCGCTCAGGTGCCTAGGCATGCCGGGGTGAACCAGGGGTTTGTTTAGTAGGATGTGCGACAGCATCCTAAGCAGGCCTAAACTGATTTTGTCTTTGTGGGCTGGTACACGTTTAGCTAACTCTCTAAGACATATCGTTAAAGATGGCGTTAGGCCAGTCGCTAGCATTTGTTCCAGGATGTTGGGAATGTCCATTTTGTCGTGAGTTTTAAGCGCCAAGCCGAGGAAGGTGACACACTTGAAGACGCAAGAGTCTATGATAGGACGCTTTTTGCCTATAGTGTCCCCTCTAGGCAGAGCCATCTTTACTAGTTCCATGACCTTATCAACGTAGGGGTCTATGTCTTCTTCTATGGCTACAGCAATCAATCCTAAAAAAAATTATGATTTTTTTAAATTTTAATATTTGCTTTTCACGTTTTAATATTGAAGAAGGCAGACATTCTGTCAAAATGTTGGTTTATTGTAAAAATTCTGAGAAATATGTAGATGATTATTTATTAATTATTTTTTCTACACAATCGGAACATACAGTACATGAGAAAATATAGAAAATTATCAATTTTCACTCTCATATGTACAGGGTGCTCACTTTTTGACCAATACTTGCAGGATCTCAGTGATCATAAGAGGTACGAGGTTTGTTGCAAATTTAGTGTCAAATAGCTGCCTGAAGGGAAATTTAACATCTTTTTGGTTTTGACGTTATTGACAGAAAACTGATCATTTTGATTTTTTTTTAATCGGGAGTGGAAAGATGTGGACTTTTAAAAGTTAAAATATGTAGATGTATTAACTGTGTCATTTCCAGGAGAGACAAACAATAAGTAATTTTTTTCCCTTCTGGGTGTCATATTATACTTTCAATTTATATCAGCTCATTTTCCCGATTACGATAATGTGTCATATGAAGGGTTTGCTTTTGTTTTGATGAAATATTGTTCACTTTTACAAAGAGTGCTTGGAAAACAAAACATCTTAATTACTTTAAACATAATTTTGACACAAGATAAACTATTTCTAAGTTCGGATAATTAAAAATGTAATTTTTATGTGAAACAAACCCATGTATTCTTCAAATTGACTGATCAATAAGTTTGAAACATATCCCACTCCTGTTCAAGTGAAAAATGTATTTTTAAATATCTGAAATTTGATATTGTCAATAAAATTTCAACAAAGCTGTCAAAATTTCTTTTGAAGTAATTTGTTTTCAAAGCACTCTTAATAAAGGCGAATAATTTGATATTTCGGTGAAAATAAACACACAAACTATATTGATGTCATATCATTGTAATCTGAAGAATACATTAAATAAATAAAATAAATAAAATAAATTAAATCAAAAAATGTGCAAATCCTGCTGCAAACCGCCATGGAGGATGTTCTGAAAAATCTTGGTGAGCTCACAAATCTAATGTGCAAATTGTCCTCCTTTTTTTTAATTGCAACGACTGTATTTAAAGAAACCATATTATAACAACTATAACTTTTAAACAAAGATTTAATACTATAACAGTACCTTTAAACAATGCAGTACCTAACACAAATATGTACCTTCTGTTTGAAGGTGATCTGCAAGTAGAAACCAAACCGCTTTTAATATTTCGTCTTTATACTTTTTCAGACACATATTATAGTAAATGAGGTGTAACGTTAATGAAAAGTTAAATTTTGACTTACTTCTCATCGCCTCATTCTCGTTTCTAGTTAATTGTACAGCAGCCTTGTATTTTCACGTTTATATTTAGTATAAAAAGGGTTTACCCATTAATAATAAAAAAATAACTTTGTACATCTGTAGATTTCAGTTAAACTTAGAGATGTTTTAAAATCTTATGAGCTGTGACCTTCATATGCGCAGAAACATAATTCCAACCGTCGCCTAAATTATTCTACGTCCTAAAAACATTACACCTATTATTCACAGTCTCTCTCGAGCTCTAGCGTAAACAAGCCTTTGTTCCGATTACAAATATCATAATAAAATGCCATATTCTTTATTATTTTAATTTAAACTATAAAAATATATATAACGAACGTTCGCCAGTTGACTTTATTGATGCCCGAGCGCCTTAGTTCATGTCTACTTGTAATTATGCACATCTGAGTCAATGTTTTCACAACTTGCTTATTAGAAGAATTATGGGGATACGCCACGCCTTTCGCGCATTTCGCGGCTCAAGAGATATTAAAAGACCTCTACCTATAGTTATAAAAGCGGTAGTTCTGTCCTTCTCCCTGCCCCTCAAAATATTAAATAAATGGTTCATGGCACCAGGAAGGTGCTTCTCCACAAAGCATTTCTTGTCGAAAGCAGCCAGCCTGGGTAAAACAGTGAGCAAAGTCTGCTGAACGTAACTATATCTGGAAAATTTCTGTTGCAACACATCCAGGCAAATATATTCAAATTTTTCAGTAACTAAGTGGCGGCAAGTGAAAGACTCTATTATAACGTGTTTCTCAGAGGATAACGCTGACAAAACTTGGTAGTTGGACGCTTTCTTTGTGGGATTTGTGTACATGAAAAGTGGTCGATTGAAGCTGAAGCTATCGCAATCCGAGGACCTTTTCGGATCTGTATTCTCTAATAGGGCTGTGTATTTGCGCTCCCATGAAGCATTTGCTAATCTCAGTAATTCATTTAAAATCAACAGAGAGGCATGTACACGTTCGTCCTTTACTCTCTCTCCTCGGTCGGCAAGAAGAAGCTTTCCTGATTCTTCGTAACATTGCTTATACCTAAAATTTATAATATTTTTTATCCCTATCTTAAAAAAAGTGATAGAATTTACCATGCGGCTCGTTGTTTAACGATCTCTCTTTGAGCAGTAACAACAAGTGCTGCTCTTAAAGCTTCTATGGCACCTTCACGTATGGCAACTTTGGGGTCTTGTATCGCCAAAAAAATTAAGTCAAAAAATTGGGAGACTTGTTGATAGAAGTATGTTGGCATTGTAATTGCCAACTCTTTTAGTACTAAAACTGCAGCATGTCTTTTTCCCTGAAAATAAAATACTTAAATATTAAATTTAAGTTAACGAGATGCTTACATCTGCCTGCTCTTTTTGTAGCCATTCAAAAGCACGTTTAACTTCAAACTCTACATATTCTGATGCTTTAGAACCAGAAACCACAGCCAAATGACCCATAGCTTTAGCGACAAGTTCCATTACACCGACATCGCTTGAGGGCAGCAAATTTCTTAGGTAATTAGCGAACCGGCTTATTCTGTTAGTCATGTTACCAACATCGGTACCAATTAAGCATACTGAAACAATCTGTATTAGATATTATAACTGTTAAATGTCTTACTTACAGATAGCCAGTATGCCTCCTTTTTTCTCATTGACATCATTACTAGAAACCATTTCAAAGATGTGGTGATTGAATTCTTCGAGGAAAGTGTTGATTTCATCGGGAGTTGCTTCTCTTAGCTCACTCTTAACATAAAGCGATAGCTCTTGGGCCGTCTTGTGCCGTACAGATTCATGACGCGATTTTAAGTTCGTTACAAACTGCTGCAAAATTGCTGAGGACATGTTGTATATACTTATAGAAAACTTCAATGACAATTTACATCATGTACTAAAAAATAATTTAAAACGAATCAAAAATATACTTCTCTGATTCTGCTTTTATGACACTAATGCACATAACACTAATGTTTATTTTATTTTTTTACCGACAGCTGACAGTAAGTCAGTTAAATTAAATGTCCCTAAAATAATTTAATTTTTAGTTTCTTTCTAGTGGAAAGCAGGGAATCCAGCGCAGTTAGTGCAATTATAAATTAAATGAGAAAGTTAATTTTGAATTAAATAAATTGACTCCAATTTTTTTTAATTTATTGGTTAAGAATAAATCAGTGTTAACTTTTAAAATCAATGTAAAGATTTGTGTTGTCAGTTGTCAACGTATATTCCTTCATTTCTGTACTTAACCTAGTTTGAAATAAAGCAAAAAATGGTTTTAACTAAAGAGTATAGGATATGCATGCCAATGACCGTTGAGGAGGTAATTATATTTGATTACAAACTGTTGAACACACTTTTTCTTAAATTATCTGCTTTAGTATCAAATTGGTCAACTTTACATGATTGCAAGACACAGTCTGGAACAATCTGGTGATGGAGAAGGAGTAGAAGTTGTAGAAAATAAAGAGTGTGTAGATGAGCAACATGGAACGGGCCAATTTACCGAGAAAAGAATACATCTGTCTAGGTATGTTTAAAATTTAACATCAATTGTTGAAAAGTGAACTTTGTTACAAAAATATAAAAGTGTGTGCCATCTTCTGTATATTTTTAGCCGTCTTCCATATTGGGTCCAGGCTATTATTCCAAAGATCTTCTATGTAACTGAAAAAGCCTGGAACTATTATCCTTTTACAATCACTGAATATACGGTAGGGCTTACACTGTACTTCTTTGTAACTGAAGTTGTAACTATTTATTTAATATCTTTTTTAGTGTTCGTTTATTCCAAGGTTTAATATATCCATTGAGACGAAATATGAAAATAATAATGGATGTACAGAAAATGTGAGTAAGAACTGTTACCCCTTTTGATGGGTAGATAGATTTATTTCATGTTATAATATCTTTTTTTTAGTGTCTGAATTTAACACCAGAGCAATTAGCTGAACGAATCGTTGACCACATAGACATTGCATATGATGAGGTTTCAGCCAAACACTATAAAGAAGAGGAAGACCCACGTTTCTTCAAGTCCAAAAAGACTCATAGAGGCCCCTTGGTGGACGGTTGGAGAAGTAATTACCAACCAATAATGTGTTCCTACAAGTTGGTGCATGCCTCTTTCGAAGTGTTCGGTTTGCAAACTAAAGTGGAAGAATTTGTGCATTCAGTAAGTAAATATGTTTATTTTTTGCTTTATGAATTTACTAGGTAAAATTTCTGTCCAGTGTGTCCGGGAAGTACTACTTCTTGGCCACCGACAAGCTTTCGCTTGGATCGACGAGTGGATAGAAATGAATATGGACGATGTGAGAAAATATGAGGCGCAACTACAGCACCAAACGAATTCTTTGTTGCAGCAGAGTGTTCCTAATAATACCGATTCTCCAGGTACACCAGATCTGTTGGCTGCAGACTTGAATCCTTCCTTGACTGGCAGCCCTCCTCTTACCCCGAAATCTCCCTCTAAAAGAGGGTACTTCTCCTGGTTTTAGTCCTAAGATGTGCAATTTTATTTATTACGATTATATGTATTTATTTTGTTTACTGTTAGCTTTGCAATATAAAATCTTAAAATGTCGTGAAAGTGTGTTTCGACTATTGAATTGTTGGTGCTTAAATTAGTACAGAACCTTCATTTTCTTTAGAACAGTAACTTTATTTCCTTCAAGTTGGCAATTAGATTTTGGTAAAAAATATTAAAACAAGATCAAGATTATATTAAAAAACAACATTCTGTTCCATCGGCTGTGATTGGTGTAATTTTTCAGGAAATTCTATTCAACCAATCCGTATCGCATTATCTCGAGCGTAGATGTAATGGTTTGTCATTGTTCATTGTAAATGAATCATTAATATTGGTGATGCCAAGATTTAGATTTTTTGTTACTAGTACTGTAATGTTGGTTACATAAATTGGCGAACACTTGGCTTATAAACATTTATGAATGTTCTGTAATACACCACGGTTATGATTCCCTTATAATAGTTCTGAGTGTTATTTTTCTGGACATTCCAATGAGCTTGTTTCAGTTAGCAGTCTTCAAACATTTTTTATAAAAGATGTTATGTAGTGTTTCCTATATTCAAAGAATAAATTACCAAAAAAGTATGTCTGTATATCTTTTTAATTATGTGCTTATTTTATTAGGAGTAGTGCCTTACGAGTAAGGCCTTGTTCCAGAATAAGTCAAAAAAAATTATAAACGAGTAAGGCCTTGTATCAGAATAAGCCAAAAGTTATACTTTCCGCTAGCAAAAATTTAAATTAAAATTAAGCAGTTAATTTGCTTGCAAGTCTGTATATAAAGTTTTTTAATTACTTTAAATTTTCCGCAGATTTAAAAATCCTCACTTATAGTGGAAGTTTCTAGATCCTATGTTACATGATTCCAAGCTACAACCTTGCATTATTGTATAAATATTGAAGCTAGGCTTCGTAAAGAATTCAATCTTGTCCTATCATGCATTTTTTAAATATTTTTGGCTGAATAATTTGACTTATACAGGGTGATTCACAACTTATCCAAAAAAATTTGGGAATAGATGCGCTATGAAAAATGGAGTCAATAACATAAAAAAATTTCCTAGAAAAAATTATTGAATTTGAAGTGCTATCCACCATTACTTCACTGGCCTACTGTATGTCTCTATAGTCATTCTTGTTGTGCACTTTGCGCAATGCGCGTGGAGAGCCACGTGGCCCCAGCGACTCCGAATACTGAAATCCGATTTTACAATTAGTATTAACGTCATTGTGATAGTATTTACAATAGTTTTTTAGTAGTTAGTGTCAAACATGGCGTACGTGTATAGCAACTGGGAGTTGATGGATATCGTTTTAATTTATGGTGAAGCAAGATGACGATTGTGTTACGGTGAAGCAAGACGACATTTGTGTTAGTTCGTAGAAGCTGTGTAAGACGGGTCCAAATGTGTTTACAGGTAGGTGGATAAAATTTTGAACAGTTGTAACATCAGCCATGTCAAATTATTTTATTAAGTAAAACCACATATTAATTTCATTAATTAATAATAACAATAGCGGCAAAAGCAAAAATTCTATTTATTTTTTGCGAGTTTCTTTCAAGTTTTTGTCCATTTTTTATTACACTTCGCCTTGTGTATCTCACTTTTACACTCGACCAATTTCCAGTGCCGTGCAGAAGTGTATATTTAAATCATTTTCGAACTGCCCTTTTTGATTTTTTTTTTACAAAATTGTATTTGTAAGTCCCCTGTACATCCAAATTTTTTTTTTTTGGATAAGTTCTGAATCGCCCTATTTTAATGAGTTACAAAAAATATGACCCAACTTAGGAAATCACCCTGTACAATCGGTATATTTTCATCTACATAATATATGGCTTATGTAGGTATGTTATTTATTTTTGTTTTTCATTCACAAAAAAACCGACACAACTAAAGTAACGCCACAAACTGTTTCTATGTATGTAATTCCTGAATTTATTTTCTAGGCCATTAGCATTGGTCAATAAGTCAATAAGTTTATAAAAATTTTTTCTAATTTGTTTTATTTAAAAAAAGATTTTATAAACTAAGTTATTTTATTGACCAATGGCCTAGTAAATAAATTCAGGAAATTGATGTATATGTACAGTAACAAGTTTTGGGATGTGACTAGTTTGAAATTGGTCTTTTACACAGCTTTACTTTGATAAAATAAATTTGAAACACAATTTTAACGTCAATTTAATCACAACAGTAAACAGTACAAATATATCAGGTTTATAAATATAATTAGAATAAATTATCTAATTGGAAAAATATATCACTATATAATTAAGTAAAACTAAATAGTTCTGTGCCAACAAATATCTTTAAAAATAATTGTTTGTGCTAAATATGAATGGAAATTGCGTGTGTATTTAAGAATTCTTAAAAATGTTCTAAGATCAAATATATGGTAGAGCTGTGTATTTTTTGTATTTTGTTTTCAAACGTGGACTGGTTCTAAATATTTTTGTACCATATTTTATTTAAATATTCATATAAAACATAAGTGACAACGAATAATAAAAAAATATTTAGTTTTGAATTCTCAAAAAAATTGTAGGTCTATTTTGCATAAGAATACAATAGGTATTCTTAGTGAATATAAAATAATATGTAGCACATTAAACATTTTAGTGCAGTCTCTATAACATACATATTTATGTTGTGTTTCATGTTGAATGAAATCATCCTTATATCTCGTTATTTTAAATTGAAAGATTTTGAATTTTGAAACAAAATATTTACCTTCAAAGCGATTATTCCAATATAACCAAATTATATTTTAGTCATAGGCATCTGATTAAAAATTAGAAAATTAGTAATACCTATATTCTTTTCTTTTTGCATGCATTATCATTTTGGGCTCCAAATCCTTGAGTCGTCTTTGAAATAAATAACCAAAAAAGAAATAGAAACAAGTTACCCAGCAAGTGGGCTGGTCGCTTCAGTCAAGTGGAGACAGATGGTGATATATTCTAATTTAGCATTCCTAGAAACTACCAAATTTTGAAAAAAATATCTTTAAAAGTATTCAAGAGTTAGGTACCCAAACATGTAGCTTCTTTTGCTTTTTGTTTTATATAAGCTATAGAATTTTTGAAAAAACTTTTTAATCTAGCCCTTAAAAAACAGCATATCTGCTCCAAATATTTATTGAAAATATTCTCATCAAGTAATACATTTTGTATTTATTATATTATTTATTATTGTACATATTTATATATATTTTTTAAATGTCAATCCTGTTTAATTTTAGGTCCGCGTGCCTATGACTAAAATCGAATTTAGTTAAAAACACTGCAGGTAATTATTTTGTGTCAATATATAAAAACATTTAGTTTCAAATAAGAAAGAAATAAAGGTAGCTACATAAAAATCGAAACAGTATATAATTGATTGGTGGAGAACCAGATGGTCCAACATGAATAAATCTTTTGAAAAGTTGGACTATATATGGATAAAAAGTAAATTTAAATATAACTTTACACACCAGTGCTTAATGGACCACCTGGTACATACAGTCTCAGTCTAACTAGACATATTACTTATATTATTTAATACTTGAACAATTTCTGGCTGGTTGCCACACCTTCAGTTTAGACTTTCGGACTTTTTGAAAGAGACATACCACTCTCTTCTGAGAAGAAACTCTGAACAGTTTCACCAGCCCGACAATTGTTCAACTGCAAACCAAACTACACAGCTTAATGTCTATATACTAGCCGATGATGCCTCTTTTCTGGCGAATCATCAATGGAAGGTCTCTTCCCTTCGACTGACATCATTCGGTAGTCATTAGAAATCCTTCTCTCTAAAATAGACGGCCTCCTACTGTCACCAACTGAGAATCTTCTAGTTTCGACAGTGGGAATTTGGCTTACAAGTTCTGTGACTTCCTCTTCATTTACCGTAGCACTGTCTTTGTAAGACATGCTTGCATTCGATCCTACAGAGAAGGAACAGAGGCGCTGAAGAGGGGGAACAGAGCCTTAAAATGAATTTGAATGTTATAGTGACATCATAATAATAGTATATAAAGAAAGGAAGTACAGGGTATGTGGAGATTCACAATAATTTCCAATTATTTAGTTGAAACATTTTACTTCGAAATTCTGAAAATTTTCTGAATTGAAACTAAATAAAACATTTCTTTATTAGGTTACTATGTTACGTTACACTGTACAGGTAAATTAAACTCATTTGAGTTCTGAAGGTAGGATGTGCAGTGGCAAAGTAGTGGAGTGGGGAACTATATACATTTGCTATGGGTTATCTGCTGCGTGTATTTCTATCTCTATCTACATCAAATGCACTTTCTTTTTAATTTGCGCATTTCAGAGCTCAAGGGTATTTTATCCAGATGCATATATCTGTCTAAATTTTAAAATACTATGACTTGTTAGGAAATGCTTTTCTGTTTTAAAACATGTTATTAATAAGGGATAATTGAGGATTCTAGATGCAAAGCCGGATAAATCTTTTTGAATTTTTTGAAATATAATAGTGGCAATGCATTCACAAACCATTTGCTCATACGGCTAATACTCCAATTCGTTCAAGAGCATAAAAATTCTTATAAAAATTAAAGTTCAGTTATTATTGTTAAAAATTATATTTTTTAATTTGATTTTACATTAAGGGAAATATCTTTTAGCCATAAGTAGAAATTAACCCACTAAACACGAAACGTAAATGAAACGTTGCAAATGAGATGTTTTACTGAACATTTGAAACATTAACTAGAAACGTTTCTGTTTCATTACAGAAATGTAGCACTTGAAAACTTATTTAGTGAAACATAGCCGAAACGTTACAATTGAAGAGAGTTTGAAACATTACTCGAAACATTCCCTTTCGATCTCGGAAACATAACAGACGAACAACCCTTTGCTATTTTTGCTTATCTTATGGAACATTCGGCATTAGTTAAATTTTGCTCTCAATCCCCAATCCTTCTCAAGCGTTAGTTCATTTGCCTTTGTTATATAAAGACATAATTAGAAAAAAAAATGTGGTAGCATATTTATAACACAAGTCTAGAAAAAATGTATGTTCGTGACTTGCGTAGACTGCGCGTAACAGCCCGAGTTTATTTGTTTCCCGTGTGTCGTTTCAATTCGTATTATGTTAGGTTAGGTTTGCGGTTTGTCAGTTTGCTTGGTTTCGTTGTTATTCATCTTTACTTTGACGCTATTTTATGTGATAATTTGTAGTGTGTGCAGTTGTGGTTATTGTAAGGTGCATATAAAATAATGAATATTGATGCAAAATGTTTAAAACGATATGTGTAAAGAGATTTCCAATTTTGCGTCACATCTACCTAAATATAGTTATACCCACTACCTATTACAGACAAGAGGACAAGGGACAAGAACTAAGAAAATGGAACAACAACTATACGTTTCGATATAATTTGAAGAGCAACTACTTAGTCAGTGAGAACTATTTGAAATATGGATGAATCAAGTGAAATAGACGTCATTTATTTTATATTTTGTACAAATGTTTATATTTGTTTATGTGTATAGGCATGCTTAAATAAAAGAGTTTAGGTATACCTACAGATATTTACTTTGTCAAGATATCATTTTGTATCCTTATTTCTGCTGTATAATTTATTATTATTAAAAGGATATATGTAATATTGACCATGCGTAGAAGAAATTATAACTTTATATTATTTTTCAGTAATGTTATTTGTTTTTCATGTACCTACCATTTTAAGATTCATAATCATAACTAACTTTTTCTAATTATCAGTTCGTCATTGTTACCATATTCATGAAGGTCTCAACATTAGAAAATTTCCATTTCAGAAGCGTATTTGAACTATATAAAATGTGTAGCTTTTTTTTAATGCTTCTGATATTGTTTTGTGATATTTTTATTTGTACGATGAATGGCAAAATTCATAATCCATATTAGAAACTTTTTTCAGTGGCTTCTCAAAAAGAAAGAAATTCTTAGTAAAAGTTGCCGCATCCCCAAACTAGAAGAGCATATTTATTTTTTTTAATATACAATGTAACTTTTTTTAGTTCGAATTAAGTCATTCACAATACAAATAAAAATATCACAAAGGAGTATTAGAGATATTTAAAAAAATACTCACACTATTTATACTATTTCAAAAACGCTTTTGAAATGAAAATGATCTAAAGTTGAGAGCATTATGAGAACAATATGGTAATAAAATTATTATGTTACTCAAACATTTCTGAAAATATACTGAAACGTAAAACAAAAATATCGAGGGCATAAATGGAACATAAAAAGAATGTTACTGAAACCAATTTTTTGAAACGTTTCATTGGAAACGTATTTTGGGGAGGACATCTTTGGTTTCTATTGGGTTACCAGAACGTTGCATGGATTTTTTATGAAACGTTTCAAGAAAAATGGAAACGTTTCTGAAACATGTCAGAAACTGAAAAATGTTTAGTGGGAATCCTAACAAAGTATCTACAATACACACACATCTCTGCCCAAGTCAGAAACGCGAAGTTAGGTGGGTCGGTCTGTATGTGTGTATTTACCTTTGCCTCTCTTTCTTCAAAATTCTGTGCTACCAAATCATCAAATTTAATGATTGATTATTTTGTGACCATTACTTGCCCCCCACTGGCAAATTTTCTACGGACGCCCATGGACTAGATAATAGTAACCGCGAATTACACAGGCACCATCTTTGATTTAGCTCAGTAAATATTTACACAGATTCTGCTGGGACGAGATGAAGCAAGTTTACGATTTTACTTCGTTTAAATTCTATTATTTGCGACAGAACGACACAAAACATAAACACCACCAAATGCGCTACCTTAATCTAAACGCAAAGGTGGCCTGGACACCTTCCTACCCAATTGTTTTGACTGTGGACTTTCCTCTGGTAACTCCATTATGGATTCTCTCCTAATCAGTTCTTTTCTCTGATGTTTCATGACGGTCAGATCGGCCAGGGAACTTTTCCTGCTCAACGGACATTTCCCGTTCCTTCTTGGCACCTGTTTCTTCGCCTTGTAAAGTTCTAGCAACGCCGCCCCCAGTGACGTGATCAACAGGCCGCCAACCACATAGTTCATTATAGATGCTACTGAAAATGTTCATAATGTAGGAGTAATCGTTTAGTGTTACTGATATTTTACAACTAAGAAATTTGAAAATTAAAAATATCTACGACTACAAGTTTGTGTACCTATCTAAAGTTTTATCGTCCTGTATTTTTTTGCAAAAAATGCTTCGGGAAAATATGTTTAAAATTAACCTGTTATCTATACATCAATGAATTGACAGGTTCTACTCTAAGATTGAGGTAACTGAAGTTATGTGCAGTAGCGGCACTTAACTTCCTTACCAAAGAGGGCGCAATAATTGAGGTACAAAGTATTGATCAAATATAAATAATTTCATTTTAAGAACTATTGAAATATAGGATAAATATGCTCAACATTATTTTTTATAGTGAAAGTCCAATCCTCTGCTTTTGTCCGAAATATTTTCAAATACTTTTTGTATTGGTATTTTTTGCGCCACTGATTTTTCAATAGATAATATTGCAAGTGTTGATAGTCTGTTGTTATAATCAAATTTAAACTTTTACAATCTTTCAAAAAATACAAGAAACAATATGTTTGTACCAAAATTTTACACCATACGTAAACAAATTACGTTTGATAATAAAAAAAAGCGGTGAAAACTATTATTTGGTTACGGATGGACTAAATAGAGCCCAAACTTCATAGTAATATGCGTTACTCCCATTCTGTCTTTCACTGCTGCGCGATGGTAACCATGACCACCGCTGTAAAGACTTTCTACGTTTAGAGGCTAGCTACAAGGAACCAACGTATTCAATGTCATTCCAAATTTAAGATTTCCTTTTTAATGTGTTTCATAAGGCTAATCTATTTAATTATGTAGATAATATTTAAAACTAAATTTTAAATTAGATTTTTTTACTACAAAAATTTCTAAGGCGGTGTGGCGCCCCAGAGCCCGTCCGCACCAGCCGCCACTGGTTATGTGTTAATATAACAATTTTCGGGCCAACTTGGAGTAAGAAATCTGATTGTTAAATATTCTATGTCTGTTGTGTACCTACCTATATTCATCTGTACAGAATATTCCAAGTTTAAGTGAAATTTGGTATATTAGAATTTGAGTATGAATATATACAATTTGTTAGGTCGTAGCTCAAGTATTTACGAAAATGAGCGGCTTTTACATTATTAGGAAGATAAGGTCCTTAGTCAAGCTTTGTCTTGCAAATTTTTGGTATTTCTGCCGATTTTTATATAATTCATTATTTTATTAATCTTTACCAGAAAATATTTTCTATATTTATTTGATTTTATTATCATCAAATATTTGATTTATTCGAATAATACAATATCAAATGTTCTTTCATGCAAATTGTCGGAAAGTCATTTTGAAAAGTTATAAACGGGGTTTCTAACGAAGCCACTTAGATTTTTTTGTAATTTTTTTAAGGAATAGTCACTAGAAGTATCCAAAAAAATGCAGGTAAAGCTGTTTTTTCTATTGCATGTGCCAAATTTTGTGATAATTGGTTCTGATTTTACAATTCATTCAAATAAAAAAATATCATTGTGTTGAAATTTTTCGATATCTTATATGAAAACGATATTTCAATTATACAAAAAATGGCTCGTAACAAGGCCTAGTTATTTTTTTAACTAAAAAAATCACTTTTTAATAAAGTAGGATCGTATCCCTTTACCAATGTTCTACTCAATTTTTTTTATTATGAAAACGTATGTCTTCGACGATTTCATCCTGTATACAGGATGTTTTGTTATTTTGTGAAAAAAAGTTCTTATAAAGGTAGATCGAAATAATAAATGCAATGTTTAAATTTTAATTTTTTATTTATTCTCATTTATTGTTTCAAACAGTTTTAAAGATATTGTCTAGAAATTTGAAAAACGCTTTGGAAGGATAAATGTGCTTTTTTTTTGGGGTGATCCGAATATTTCTACTTGCACCAGTGGCGTTCGTGCGATAATGCCACAATCCTTTTTAAAAAATAAATGGTACGCTACTGACTTTTCCCGTTTTGATATTTTTTTAGAAATCCGCCATCAATTCTTGAATGAAATTGTTTTTTTTCGTAGGATACACCGTTTTTGAGAGAAAAAAAAAAAACACATTTTATTGCAAGTTGTGCATTTTTAATTTCTATTGGGACATTATCTAGTACGCTGCTGCAATATTTCTAAATAAAATACAACCATCAAATTTCGAGTCAATATCTTTAAAACTATTTAATAAAATAATTAATAAAAATTAATAAAAAATTAAAATTTAAACACTCTCGGAAACGAAGCATATTTCGACCTACGTTTATAAGAACTTTTTTTCACAAAATAACTTCGGCAACAACCTAAAATATTTCGCACTTATTTACAAATACCCTGTATATGAAATGTTCAGTAAAGATTATCTATTTTTGTGTTTTTCATCTCTGGCATAGTCTATTATTAATTTTTAAAGATAAAATTATATATTGTAAAAATAAAATGAAAAATAGCGTTTTCCCTCTTTTCAACCCCATTGGTGGACACAGTGTATATGCAGTTTTGCTAAAATATTGAACATATATCTACAAGTTTTCAAAATTAAGATTATTGATATTAAGTAGTACATTTTTATTTTCATATTAAAAAAAAGTCCTAGAAAAGTTATTTTCAAATTTTTTGGTTAGTCACTTTTCCTTTTATATTTTGAGTTAAAGCCCTGTACATGTTAAATAATAATATGAATATTTTAGATATCTCCAATTCTCTATATTGCGAATTTATCAAATTTTACTTTCTGAGATTATTTCTATTCGAGCATTAAATTTGATGTCATAACAAGGGAAGTTTGAAATGATCGTGATATTTTTTTAATCGAGTTTTTGACCCAGTTATGTGTTACTAGAAATAGTATTCATTTTCGATAATAATTATGTATCGAAAATGCGTTGATGATGGATTAGATTTTCCTACTTCTGTAACTATTTAAAAATATATATATAGGTACACTTGTACTAGCATACCAAATTATATCATTTAAATCCGACAAAGCGTTTTAGAAAAACTATTCATTTTGCGGAAGTAATTTGCAGCAGTTTCAAGTTCCGTATGTAGGTACGGGAAATATTTAGACATTGTATAAAGAGCACAAAAAATATGTAATTTTGTATACATTAATAAAGTTGCATAAAAAAATAAGTACTTACGTACATCTAATAATGTACAACTGATCCTAACTTTGATGATTTATAAACGCTTTGACCTTCTAATATAATTGGAACGAATTGGAAAAATATTTTTTTATGTTTTAAAATCAACATTGCTAAATATTACGATAATCTCGATGATATTTTTAGTAGATACTTAAACTGCACATTTTCGCTATTACAATGCAAATGAGATTTACCTCTAGGTTCCAAGTTTTTCGATATTTTTTTTGAAATCCTCGGATTCCTATGTTTCCTTTTATCGTAAAAATCCTCAGGGGTACACAATTCATTTCTCAGCACCAAGTCAGAACAAATTTCATCAAGGATGACCAGCATGTCGGATTTAGGACACGAGGGTTGCTTTATAATCTTGGGTTCAACTCTCACGATATTTTCAGTGACATGTAACTCGATTTCGCTGATGTTCTCATCTGTACGATTAATTTCTGTTTGGTTTTTAATGCCGAAATCGTTTCCTTCGGAGTCGTTCATAGGATAATATAATACTAATCTCGCTAAAACTACTATTAACAATATAAATATCACTGACTTTATCACCTTCTCTGTTACAGCTTCGTTGGTAGCTGGGGGATTGTAAGGGTTATTCTCTCGGTTTTCAATCATTTTTGCACACTGACTGTCACAGACTCGAATTGATCTGATATTCTTTATTTAGATAAAACAAACAAAAAGGAAGGGAAACAGCGCGTTCTACGCGTCGTAGAATTTAGGCAACTGTGGAAAATCGATAAAAGCTCTATATACCCCGTTGCATTTTTCAGGGTAATTGCGACGCGACAGCTGGACGAGAATATTGCCACCGATTGATAGATCTTTCACGCTTTATCTATATTGTTTTTAATATGGAAAATTATTCAACAAACTAAACATATGTTCCTTTTTTAAATTTTTTCTCGTGGTTTCGAAACGACTTATTTTAGGAGCAATGTTCAATTATAACTGAAGCAGATCTACTTTTTGCGATTTTGTTGAGTTTTCCTTCCGAACAAAAAACCTTCGATAAAACCGAGTTATGGTCCTTTAAAGTTTAGAAATAAGTACTTACATGCATACAGATTTTAAACTTTTACTAGCTTTCATTAAGATACCCCCTTGTTATTCGACTAAAATTTACAATATTTTTTTTTTTAATTCAAAACATTGTTAAAAATTTGCTGCGAGCGTACCGTTCGAGACCTAGGTTAGCAGTCTAGCTTCCATTTTGCCCAGGACCCTCTGCCTTTCCTGTGGCAAGGATCTTAAAGTATAAAGCCAAGCTCAAATGCAGTGGAAAAGTGCTAAAAGACAGCGGTATGGATACAGAAGCAGTGAAAAAAATAGTGAAAAAAATGTTAATCCGAATGTGTATCCGGTAATATTAAGAACAAATCAGAGCATTGACTAAACCTCTAAGCAGAACATCATCCAAAATGGAAAAAGACCGACGTGCTCTCCCCAAGTATTCGTGTAGATGGTGCTATGAGAGGCGTTCAGCAACCCTCACTACCACTTTGAGCAGCCGCTGAAGACGAGAGTCCCGGCAATGCCTACTAGCGTTGAGTGAGAAATAGTATTTTTCTATCAATGTTACTAGTTACGAAAATTTCAGCGAAAATTGCGGTCTCACCCAAAATAGAGGTATGGGAAAAAAATACAGAACAAAGCCTTACAAAATAAGTTGTAGTATAACGAGGCAGAACCGTAGTCAGGGCCAATACGATATAGCTGGTCTAGAGAAGAAAAAAATGTTCCACCTACCACAGTAAGCTTTTAGGAACATACAATATCTTAAAAAGTATCAAACTGGAAATAAACGTGCTCTCTCTGCAAATTTTATTGCATTTTAATATTTGGTCCTAGATACGGTTCTGTATCGAGGTGAACTGGACAAATAAATAGAATTTCATAGATATCGAATAAAAATTTACGATTTATGTTATAAGTACCTTCACCCATCTGAACTTAAATATTTTTGAATTATGTATCCCACTAGTCAGCATTTAAGGTTTGGCAACTGATATAACTGGTTGCATAAATCTTAAAATAGCCATATTACAAATTTTTTCATCGTAATCAATGACTATGAATAGTTAAAGAATATTAGAATGTATTATTTTAGATTTAGTTTAATTTTAGAGATGTGCATTGTGAGTTTAAAGTTTAAAAATATTATAATATACAGGGTGTTCCACCTAGAGGGATTTGTCTGTAACACTGTAAAAAATTGGTTTTAATAAAAGTTGTCTGGAATCATGTGGTCCATGTAAAGAAAATATTTTTAGTTTTATAGGGCGTTCCATTTCGGTGAATGCAAAATTGAATGCCCTTTCGACTGATTTAAGGTTGCCCATACTTATCTCTAATAGTTTTCCAGAAAAATCAGGTTTTGTTTTAAAGTCCAAAAAAGTAACTATGTAACAGCGTCAAGAAGACCTTGCAATTGTTTTAGTACAACGTCGATACATAGGATTTTACAAAAGCACAGCACAGCACATCCTTATCGCATCCAATTGCACCAAGAGTTACTAAAAGTAGACATTAAGCAAAGATTGGAGTTTTGTCAGTAGGCACTTGAGATGTTAAATCAAGATGATGATTTTTTAAACGGGTCATGTTCTGTCATCTTTTAAAAACCGAATTCGTTTGTGTATTAATCAAAATGGAGGACACTTCGAGCAATTGATGTAAGTCAGCGGTCTAAGTATTCTTTTCCTTGTTCTGTTCCGAGTTTCAGTTTGTTTCGTTTTGCGTTTTGTTTTAGGTGTTGTTAGTGGTTTATTTTTGTTTGTCAAACCACTTTTTAAACATGCCAGTAAATATTGACACTGTCAGTCCTAGGCCTGATAAAATGTTAGAGAAAAGTGGTTTTGCAAGGCCTTCTTGACGCTGTTACATAGCTACTTTTTCGGACTTTAGAACAGAACCTGATTTTTCTGGAAAACTGTTAAAGATTAGTATGGACAACCTTATATCAGTCGAAAGGGCATTCAATTTTGCATTCACCCATGACAATTAATATTAATAAAAGTTTTTCAACTCGTAAGATTATTAAATGTAAGTCTCATTATTTTCGAGTCTGAATAACGTACACGTTTTGCTCACAGATGACAAGATAATTAATTTATGCCAAAACGAACTGTGGAGACTGCAGGTTTCTAACTCTTACGGTTTAGAAGCTATCTAGCCTCATTTAGAGAGCTGAAATTGTGATTTTTTTCAAAAACAACTGATTATCTCGAAAATGGTAAGTTTTAAACACCATGTACATTCAATAAACTCTACCTAATATTAACCAAGGAATTTAAAAATACAATAATATATAGGGTGTTCCATTTAAAATAACAAAGTTATGTAGCGCCCATGCGAAATGGAACACCCTATAAAGATAAAAATATTTTTTTTACATTACCCACATGATTCCAGGTAACTTTTATTCGAGCCATTTGTTTATAAATTTACAGTTGCAGAGTTACAGAAGAATCCCTCTTAGGTGGAACACCCTTTATAATTTATTTGATAATTACATATTTGGAAAATTGATTATTCTTGAAGTTAAAAATTTTATCTGCAGGCTGTGTTAACAATATGGGGATAATTCTATGGACTTTCAACTCACAAAACTGCAATAAAAAAAATAAGAGAAAGCAGAGGTCCTCTAGTTGGATTCTCAAGACAAATTGGATATCATGTCATTCATTTCTTTGAGTTTTATGAGGAACAAAGCGATATCCATTTACTTCACATTTTCTATAACCATCTATGGGTTAAAATTAAAGTAAAAACTGCTGCTAAAAATAAGTTCTGGGGTGTAACATTTTATTACTGATTTTTCAATCTACTTACCAGTATAACCAAGAATTAAGTAAAAATAAAAAAGTTACATGCTTTCCAATAGTAGGTACATTATATTTTATAATATTTTTTACGATTATGTATGTTTTTTTGTAACTACGTGTGCTTTATAAGTAAGTTCAGTATACCCTTAAGTGTTAATAAAATAGCCCACATAATAATACACTGTCGGCTAAACTCGATAGCCATTTCGAAAGAACATATGAGATTAAAAAAAACTGATTTGCGATTTCTGATTTCGATTTCAAACAAAACACAGTGGCGTAAACCATAGCCTATTATTTCTATCCTTTTCAGAGATGCAAAGTATTTCTCATCAGAAAAAAAAACAGTATCGATTAGTCCCTATATCTCCTAAAGTATTTTTTAGTAAAATATTGTGACGTAGAAAAAAAGTTGTAAGTCCATTAGTTTTTTGGTTGCGAATAAAAGTCCCGTCGATCTTGGTCCACCCTGTACATATATAATTTTTCAATAACAATTTTTCCAGTAACAAATTGTCGTGTTTATTTGCCTGTGTGTTTGCTCGCTATCTCACTTGTCCAGGTGTTATTAATTGCTCAAATATTTATTGAAGTGCATATGGTAACCTTTATGCCTGCGATAAGAGCGATAATTCGTGACCCCTGATAAGCCGTTCAACAGAATTATTTCACCTAGACGTGCTAACAGAGGTATATCTACCTGTGGGCATACGTAAAAAGTGTTTTGTTTTGAAACGGTGCGGTGGTTACATAATGAAAAGGGAAGAAATTTGGTGAAGTTTGGCCGACTTGCACATGCGTCTGTTTGTTGTTTGCTGGTACTGTCGTGATTAATTTGTTTTTATCGAGATTATAAGCAGAGGTAGGATATCTAGTCTGTTTAGTTATTGTTTCGCTTAAATTATTGTATCCTATCCTCGATACACTTTTATTAGGTGAATGGAAACTTGTATGGCGCACTGTTACTTTTCTAGCTTATGATTTCACAAATTATTTTCAAGTCTCGATACCTAATATGTATCCCTGAACTATATAGCAAAATTTTTTATGATTATATACAAGGTGAGTCATAATTTTGTGTAAAACCGAAACTTTTCACAAATACCTACTTGGTCAAATAAACCTTTCCAAAATGCCCCCTTGAAGTTGATAAAAAAATGGCATTTTTCCAATATCTCCAGAACGGCTTAACAGATTATTTTTAAGTTTGGTGTAGTAAATGTCACTGTTAATTGCTGCTTTTCTGCGAGAAACCAGCAGAATAATAAAAATCAGTGCCGTGGAGTCACTGACTATTATTGGATATAATATGTTTTTTAGGTTTAGCTTTCATTTTACTACAAAAAAACATCCTTACATATTTTCAGTAAAATTGTTCAGTATAAAATAAAACGGATTTACAAAAACAATTAATAGAATAATACCTCTCTACTAAAATGGTGTCTTCAAACAATTCAGGATGATTCAGAACTTATCCAAATACAATTTTGTAAAAAAATCAAAAAGGGCAATTCGAAAATGATTTAAAAATATACTTCTGCACGGCATTGGAAACTGTAAAATCTGACCTTACGCAAGGCAAAGTATAATAAAAAAACGGGCAAAAAATTTAAAGAATTTATTTTCTAAGGAAATAAATAAATAAAATTTTATAACACTTATTTTACATCAGCAAATTCAACTGCTTTTGCCGCTATTGTTATTATTAATTAATAAAATTAATTTGTGGTTTCATTTTAAAATATTGGATGGAACTTAATAAGTTAAAAAACAAAAGGTATAATACTA